CTTCCTCCTTGCAGCTGGGGATGTCGCAGCGGCAGACGCCGCAGCCGCAGCCGCAGCCGCAGCCGCAGCCGCAGCCGCAGCCGCAGCCGCGATCTCCGTTCGTGACGAGCGTGCCGGCGCACGGTGGCGACACTGCGGCAGCGATGGCCGCGCTCTCATCCACGGCGGCAAAGGACGAGCCACCAACCGTCTCGGCATTGGTGCAAGAGCGAGGGAAGGGGAAGACGGACGCACACAGCACGCGCCTCTTCACACCGGACAGCAACCACAACGGCGGCAGCTCAATAGCCATCGGCTGCGTCAAGAGCAATAGCGTCACGGGCGACGTTGCTGGGTTGCTGCCCCCCCGTCACAAGTCCTCATCGCTGTTGGTGTCGCCGCGAGGTCGGAAGTTGTCGGCCGCACGGATTCCCGTCCGGGCGGGGTCGCGGGCGCAGCTACTAGCATCAGTTTCCGCCTCAAACACGGATAGGGGCACTGGTAAGGAGACGGCGCAACCGCGGCCCGACCAGAGGCGCAAAGAGCAGCGAAGACGAGAGCTGTACGCCTGGAACGAGGAGCTGCGGCGGCGACAGCAAAGTGCCGCATCCGCGGCGGATGCGGTCTAATCCTTGACACGCCCTGGCCCCACCGTGTTCCGCCTACTTTCCAACGTCGGATGGTTTTTGGTTTCTTTTCAATGTATTTCTGTAATAGGGCATATATGTGCGTTTGCGTGTGGCAGCAAGTTTTCTTGCTTGCTTGCGTGCTTACGTGGAGAGTCGTTGTTGCACCCATACTACTGTTTTCCCTCTCCCCCCTCTTTTTCTCTTCCTGAGTGAGGGAGGTGCTTTGTTTTTGTAATGTGTGTGCCACTCCGTTTTAGTTTTATTTATATTTGCCCCCCACTTCGTCTAGATGTTTTTTTTCCTCCCCGTCGCAGTTCATCTTTTATTGCCGTCGCTGCTCCAACGACGCTCGTTGATGTGCTGCGTTGCGTCTTGGGCGCGCCTCTCTGTGGAGGGCGCGCGTGGGATACACGAGACCCTACAGCTGCTGCCGCCGCCGCTGTTTTTTGTTCTTTTCTTATTTCTTCTCTCTCACGTCTTCTGCCCGC